GAGACCTCAGCTCCTCAGGGACTTTCCAGCGCTGCGGACGCTGATGCTCTGAACATAAACCAGAGCGCTGGTGCCAAACACATGAGCGTCAGTCACACCGGAGCATCACTGCGGCATCTCATCATGCTGACGTGGTGAAGAAGCGTTTAGAGCAGGAGCTTCATGTTCAGCAGCAGCATCAAACTCAAACACGCTTCAGACCTGCTCAAAGACGCGTGTGGAGCCCGTGATGATGATCTGATCACACGTGTGCAACGATCCAGAGTGGAAACTCTCTCTGCTGTGACACAGAGTGTTTATCTATCTATCTATCCATCCATCCATCCATCATTCCATCCATCTATCAATCTACCCACCGACTAACCCACCCACCCACCTATCTATCTATCTATCTATCCATCCATCCATCCATCCATCCATCCATCCATCTATCTATCCATCCACCCATCATCCATCCATCCATCTACCCACCGACTAACCCATCCACCCATCATCCATCCATCCATCCATCCATCCACCCACCCATCCACCCACACACACCCGACTAACCCACCCACCCATCCATCATCCATCCATCCATCTATCTAAAGCAGATCGTGTAACAACAAACGATGCCGCTGCTGAACTTGTCCTGAAACAAACGTGTTTGACGTCTGATCAAAGCTGAAGTCACTACAGACGGAGCTCAAACAGAAGCAGATGGAGGAGCTCTGATGCCCAGTTATGGTCAAACACAGGTTCAGACCTCCTCACGCGTGTGAACATCGGTATGTCCTGCTTGAGGAACACGTGGAACGTGTCCACCGCAGATCCTGACTGATGTGTCCTGATGTAACATCAACCCCGACCACTGACAGAACATCTCCTGAAATACAGGTCTGCTCTGCTCGGCCCTGCTGCCATCTGCTTCCATTCAGGTCTCTGGTCAGGGGTTTGGACACATCAGAGAGGAGCTGCAGGTCTGAGAACAGCTGGATGACTCTGTAGATCTATATTTAGCTTCACTACTGAGGTTTTGCTTTGAATCTCCACAGCTGCTAAACACCAGCCGCTCAAAAACAGACTCATAAAACCTGAATGTAATGTTAACGTTCTAGAATAACAAACTTAGGGCCCGTTCACACAGAACGCGTTTTTCTATTCCAATGCACTACGTTTCCATTGTTTTCTGTTTCCATTGTTTTTAAAAACCATTCCTGAGGGCTGCGTCTCGTGAGTAAAACGGTCATACACATCCGTCTAGCACATATTTACAAAACAATAACAGAAAAGTAGTGCATTGGAATGGAAAAACGAGAACTGTGAGAATGGCCCCTAAGGGTCTTTGCATCTAAAAACGAAATGGTTTTTAAAACAGCGCAGAGCAGAACGCCTCCTAAGTCGCAGAAAAACAATGGAAAAGTAGCACATTGGAGTGGAAAAACGCGTTCTGTGTGAACGGCCCCTTACCAACATGACCCAAACACAACACGAAGGGTTAAAACCCCATTTTTACTCGGAAACACGCCACATTATGTAAATAACAGCTGGCTTTCAGTGAAAGACTGTTTGTTTGTGTGTCAGGAGTCACCTGCAGCGCTCCGTTCACCTCGGAGCTGAGGACGCACTACAAAACTCAGAGCCTTCAGCTTTATATAGAAGACCTCAGAAGAAATGCAGCATGTTGATGTTGAGTGGATCTTGTGCTCAAGGAAACCACTCATGCTTTGCTCTTTGCTCTAAACAGCTATAAATATACTTTGTAACAAACATAATTGATGGCTTTTTTAAATATGTTTTCCTTAGGTGTTTAAGTTTGTCTATTTATGTGAAGAACCAATTCAGTCGTAACCAGAGCCGTTTCTAGTTCCAAATGTTTTTTTTTATACTGTTACTTAAATATTTATACAAACAGAACTGAGTCAAGCTGATTCATTGAATCAAATCAAAGACCTCCGTGTGTTTTCTTTCCTACAACGGACTGCAGGTAAAATCCACCTCTTCCATCCCATTACTATTCCAGACGATTCAGTTTCTAGTTTGCATCCTAATCTAGTTGTCCAGGTATTGTATATTACGAATCTTGAATTTTGTACGTCGCTTCAGATAAAGCCATCTGCTAAATGCATTAATGCAAATGATTCTAAACATCTGACAGAAAACACATGACATTATTTCTGATGAGAAAATGATTCTCAGGTCTGTATATCGTCGGTAACACAGAGAAACTAATTTAGGTTATAAAAGCGTTGTGGGAATGTTGTTGAACTAAAACGTCCAGTTTTCTTGTCGTGATTATAACGTTATTTAAAGGTTTCAAAAACCGTTTCTTCTACTATATAACTACAACCATATACTGTATATATATATACATATACTGTACTATATTCTACTATAACTTTATTTTCACCTAAAATGTAGCGTTATTTGAATGTTTATTTTTACTATTCTAAAAACGTTAAAATGTATCGTTTTCTCGACGAGATTAAATGTTATTTAAAGGATACAAAAAAATATATCA